ACTTCCATTTGTAACCCACCAGTACTGCAAGCTTATCATCTATCACCATTTTCATTTTTATTATCCCCTCATGTTTGTAAAATCAAAAGACATGAAACAAATAAATAACACTTCAAAGCCAGATGCCAACACTGCAGACTGAACTGTTCCCTTAGCACCTCTGTGTCAGCTGTAAAATTCTGAAGTTAGTGGTTTAAAGAAATTAGCCCCAAATTAACAAAAATATAGAATATATAAATGGAATAAAATAAATTAGAGATCTTGGGCTTAAAAGATTTGCTCACATTCAGAATACAAAAATTACTTTGAATTAGTAAACTGACTTTCTAATCAAATCCTGAACATTTTTAGATGTCTCTTTCAAAGGTTGTATGGGAAAACAAATATTACTTTTTTCTTCAAAAATTAGATAATCCTTTATAATGGAAATGTCTTATTCTTAACAACAAACTAGACTATTTAATTAGCACTTTGAGTGCCACTGAAGTAGCTGAGAAAGTTATAATCTCTCTCTCTCTCTCTCTCAGTCCCTGTTTTGAACACTGGTGAGAGAAAGACAACAAATGGATTTTAAATGGAGAAATTTTACAAATATTTTCAAGATTTTTGTTCTCCAGAGGCACTACACCCATGTTTCTTGAAGCGGTGTCCATGGAGAGCTGTCCTCTGGTCAGAAGTGTAAATTCCTGATTCTTGTTCTGATCCTGCTGAATCAGAATCCCAGGAGGCAAATCTTAATAATTAACACTTTGGAGACAATACCAGTAATTTTATGTTTGAAAAACAAGTTTGAAAACCACTGCCCTAACATACCAAGTAAAGGCTTCACTGAAATGTATCTGAAGCTAGAATGCCTCTGGTCTCAGCACTGTCTTGTACTCACTATCAGGCAGCAGTCATGATGCAGTTTCCATTGCCTTCTGTTAAAAAGCACACCACATGCCAACAGGCAGGGAGCATTTGTCAAAGTTTACCTCATTAATAAGGGAATCAGGAGAAAGACAAAGAGCATTTGAAGAAAAGTTGTGGAAGAAACTTAAATACGATTGCTGTTAGTTCACTTTCCATGGGCAATGCAAGCATGACATTCCTATCTCTACTGAGACACTTCTTTTTCTTTAGGTTAAATAATCGCTAACTTTCAGAACTACATGAAATCTGCACCTTATCATTTTTGCAATTAGTTAAAAATATACTTTGGTAAATTACATTCCCCCAAAAGAATCAGATGAGAGTCAGTGACTTAGTCTTGTCTGTGGCTCCCCAGTGGCAGCCCTCATGACGAAGACTTCGGTACAGTTTATTTGGGAGGTAATTCCAGTAAGTGGAGTGTGTTGTGCTGTTGGCACCAAATATTTAAAAGCTCCATTATCTTTAATTAATGTATAAATTTTTAAGTGTTGCTTAGGTTCCAAAGGCCATTTTTAAAAATAAGAAATTATAAATGATAATTTCCAAAACATATCAATTGTATATATATATATATATATGTGCATATGGAATCCCATATTAACATCTGCCAAATTAAAGGTCTTTCTGACTTGAAACCAACTGAATCTTCCAAGAATGCGTACCTTTGTTTGCTCAAGGTCATACAACATTACCTTTCTAAGGCAGAATTTTCCTATTGCTTTGCCTAACCCTGCAATCCCCGTGCTCCCACTTCTGTCTCTCTATGGGAAAAGGGAGTCTTTTGGAAAGTTTTAAATATTGTTTTAAAATCTGTCTTTTTTAAATGGGCTAAGACATTTATAGTAAGTAAAATACCTTACCATTTTGAATACTTGAATACTTTGGGGGAAAAATAAGTCAAGAAAAATAATTAATTACTTAGACTAATAATGTACCTATGCATGGGATTAGCATATTCTGGGAAGTCAATATATTTTATCTGCATGATTTACGATCAACCACTGTTAATTAAGCCCCGCATGTTTCAAGAGTGCATAATTAAACAATCATTTTGAGTAAACCTGATTTCTTATCCTGCTATATACTATGGTGTCAAAAATATGACTCCTGGACTATGCTAAAAAGTAGTCACCTTCTACAATGTAGTCAAAAGAGTTCGATTAAGTTCTTTATAAACTTTTACTCATGCTCCCCACCCTGATTTCGATCTGGGCATTCACTCATTGACTTGGCAGTCTACGAGCATCTACTCTGTGCTAAGAACAAAGATGGATAAGTCCCAGAAGTGCTTGCTCAGAATGTAATGGGAGGCAGACACACACATACAACAGAGTGTGAATCATGTAATAGAAGTATTTACATGATGGTTTAGTCCATTCAGTCTGCTATAATAAAAGTGTCTTGGACTGAGTGGCTTATCAATGACATAAATTTATTTTTCACTGTTCTGGAGGCTGGAAAATCCAAGAACAAGGCACTTGCAGATTTGTTCCTGGTGAGAGCCTGCTTCCCGGTTCCTAGACAGATATCTTTCACTGCGTCCTTATTTGGCAGAAGAGGGAAGGGTGCTCTCTGAGGTCTTTTTTTTAAGGAAACGAATCCCATTCATGAGGCTCCACCCTTGTGACCGAGTCACCTCCTAATACTATCACACTGTGGGTTAAGGTTTCAACATAGGAATCTGGGGGGACACAAATATTCACACTTTAGCACATGGCAATAAAGGAGCTTGCTGAAATTCTAAACAGGAATTGAAGTAGAGACTAGTTGGATTATGAAGACTGAAAAAGAAGTCATCAATTTAAAACACATAAAGCTTGGGTTATCTCAAATTTGTATTCTCATCCACTTAAAGAAATACATATCGAATACCTTTTAAAGTTAAAATATATTCAGATGAGCCCCAAAGACCAATTCTTGATTATGTTTGAGAAAAGCAATTTGGATTATCTGGCGGCTTTTTTGTTTTTGTTTTTGTTTTTGTATTTTGGACAGTTTCCATCATTCTCCAACTAAAATAGTTCTGGAATCACATAAATTTAAGGACTTAATAAAAACATAAAAGGATTAACTGACAAAAATATCAAGGGGATTCAGGATTACTTTATTTTATATTTAATTTTTCTTTCATACAGACAATATCAGTAATGATGCTTCTGAACACAGATATACATAAAACACATAAAATCCAACTTGGTGTGGCTAAGCAATGAAAGAAAGTTATGGTGTAATGGAACTGAAAAAGCACAGCAAAAGTGCTCTCAGAGGACAGGACTCAATCAAGCTCTGACTCCTTCTGATTTGAATGTTTTTGCTCTGCTTTGCTCCACATGTTGCTTTCTTTCTCCAGCTGTTACCAAAATGGCCATAATAGACCAAGCCTCAAGGCACACATGATAATGTTCAGAGGCTAAGAGACAAAGGCAGGAAAAGTCAATACTGTCTAAAAATGCATCCCAGTGATCTAAATTGTTACACATGCTCTTTCCAGGACCAACCCTGTGTCCTGAGAAATACCCTGTACTGTTTGGCTGAAATCTGGATTTCCCTAGACTCATTAGGTCTTCCACTGGAGTATGTTGAGCTGTTACCCATGAAGTATATGGACTGTTTGTTGAATAGAATGGATGATGGAATGCATCCAATAATGAGCAACATACATACATTCTTATTCACACATTTAGCAATTAGTCTGTGCTCCAGCTTTTATACGTGGTTTATGTAGTAGTTTTTTAAAAAATGAGTACAAATTCTTCCACACTCCTCTCATCAGGAGGCAAAGCCTCTGAATCATCTCCTTCAATCATGATAAAATTGTGACTACTTCAACCAATAGGGGAGGACTATTGATTTTTGAGCTTAGTTCATCATGCATCTTCCTTAGTTTTTGAACATTTGCTCTGCAGAAACTGGCTTTTGGAATCCAGTTGCTATGCTTTAAAAAAACCTAGCTACCTCAAAAGGTCTTGTGTCGGTCATCAGTCTCAACTGAGCCCAGCTTTAGTGCCTGTCATGGGAGTCTAATGATTCCAATCCACAGCCATTTGAGTCACCCCAGACACATAACCTCCCAGCTGGGAGCCCAGATTTCATGGAGCAGCTATAAAAACATCCCAAGACAAGCCTTCCCAGCTCTGCTTTGAATTCCTGACCCACATAATAAAATTGTTGTTACTTTATGCCAGTGAGTATGAGGTGGTTTGTTACACAGCAGTATATAACCAGAACGGCTTAAATGTCTTTAGTGAGTAGGAAATCCATGAAATTGGAAACAGGAAGAAAGAAGACCTGAAAATAAAAGGAGTTGCCAGGCATTTAAGCAACAGCATATGTTTTGAGAGGGGAGTATGTTGTTTCTGAAATAGAATGAAGGTAAACAAAATCCTTGTATTATGTGTTTAGTGTCACCCTTAATGATCCTAGTAGTAAATTGTCCAGCTGTGAAGCATCTTCTGCCCCAAATAGTCATATTGAGTCACTAGTTCTTGGATTTTATTTTATAAATCAGAGATGTGATATTCCTTCATATTTGCACGTGCCAAAGAAGCCATAAGGGGTTTTGAATAAATTCTGAAATTCAGGCAACAAATCTTCAGCTAATAACCAGGACCTAAGTCATTCACTTACATCATAGCAATCACCTTTGCTCTTGCTTTCTCTTCCTACTTTTCATCTTTTTGTTTATTCTTTATTTGTAACTTCAGCAAGGCAGGAAAAATACACAGAAGCAGGAATACACTAATTTTTAATTCCTTTTTGTAGGGATAATGGCATAATAGGGAAATCATAAAATTTAATAACTGCAAAGTATTTCCCTGCTTCTTTCAAAGTTTTATGGAGCATAAAGAAAGGGGAGCTCCCGCACTAGAGAACAGGCTCCTCGGGCAAGTCATGGGTCGGGCTGCTTTGTAGGGATCTACTCAGCGGGGCGGGGCAGGGCGGGGCCTGGAGGTGCGGAGTTCTCGCGAGTCTCGGAGTCTCGCTCCTCAGACTGAAGGGCCCGGCGTCTCTGCGCACAGCTGGCACCCCGCCGCCATGTTGAGTTGCCCTGTGTGCGCCCCGCTTCCATGTTCAGTCCAGAGCTAGAGTGAGGAGCGGCTGTTTCACACTGGGAACTCTGGTCTGAAGGGCCCGGAGCAAGTCCTCTGCGCGTGGCATCCTACAAGCTAGTGAAACTAAGCACAAAGGAAAACAAAAGGTTAGACTTTATTTTATTACCCAGATTCCCCAAGAACTGTTAATGGGCTTTGCTGGTAAAAAGTCCTTGCTCTGTCTTTTGCCCTGCTTGTCATTCTTGAAGGGTGAGAGCCTGGGGTCCGAACCTGATTTCTGCTGTGTTTGGGCGGCTCCGTTGCTGTGGGCGAGGAGCAGAACTTCTCCCCAGCCGCCTTTAGATGTGTTGGATGGTCACCAGGCCTTAGCACTAGCTGTTCACATCCCTGAGCCCCTGCCGTTTGTCTAAACTTTTGGACACAAAGGACACCAGACAATTTAGGATGTATGGCCCAAATATTAGCAAGAATAATGGTTATGTTACCCCAAGAGGTAGAGACCCCAGGGCGAGTCATACCTGGAAAACAGATTCGCAGTCGGGAAATGGTGCATTGCGTAGTGAAAGATTTTAAGATTTATTTTAAAAGAAAGAAAAAGTACACCCCCAAGAATGGGAGGCGGGCTCCAAGGGAGGAAAAGCTGCAGTTTTTGTCTCCCTTTTCTCTTATACCCTTGCTTAGGGGTGGTCTTTTGATTGATTGATGGCTCTTGTTCCTGGAATGCTTAGTCATGTTTGGCCCTTTTGCGCATGTCCTTACCCATGGTGTATACAGAAAAGCCCATGGTGGGGCCTAAACTGCAATGTTAATTATAATACAGTGAACATTGGGTCGCGTCCAGTTAATTCTTTTCTGCTACATGCAGTCGTGGCTGTTGGGCTTTAACCAGTTTCTTGCTGGCACTCATTGCTGACACCCGCTGAAGGCATATAACACCATCTTCCAGACCATCCTCCTTCTCCTCCACCTGTCTGCCCAGTGCCCCCACTTATGTAACAATCTGACAGTTACATGTCAATTTTTTTCTTAAAAGTGAAAGTACCTAGGTCTTTTGCCTGTAGGCAGAAGTGTACCCTGATGCAGAGGCTCACTGCCGCGGCCTGAATCTCCCCGGTCACACCTCTGTTGTTTTCCGGAAGAGGAACTTCAGAGAGAGGTTCACACGAGTAGTCAAGGGGGCATTTCCCCAGGTTGTCTCCCAGGATGTGGGGGCTCTGTGCCCTCTTCACTCGAGTGTGATGTGTGATATGCCTCAGGAGTGACCTCCTACAACTTAAGGGCAGAGTGCGTGGTTAAGATCAGCAGGTGGGGCCTGTTCCCTTTAGGGGTGAGCTGTCTCACAGACTGAGGGTTTTCCAGGTTTTTCGGTGTCCCCAGTCTCCTGGCCAGCAGGGATGCAGGGCCAGGTTGGTGGGTGCTAGTAGCACTTGGTCACCGTATTCTGTGAGAGCTTTTGTAGTTTCTCCTACTTGGAGGGCACACTTGAGTCGCTCCATTTCAAAAGGGCCAAATCGCCCTTTCTCTCAGGCTTGGGGGATGAGTCTACCAGACAGGAGTTCAAATGCACTCAGCTTTAATTTATCTTGGGGTTAATTGCACCTGGAGCAGGGCAACTGGAAGTAACATCATTTAGAGACCCATTGATGGGCAGCTTTCCCATATCCCAGCTGGTATTGGGGCCAGGCTGTGTTACATAAGATTAAGTGTTTTGAAGTCGAGGTGGTGATACCTAAAAAATTCCAGCTCTGCAGAATACATCCTAATGGGCTGTCCTTTGGTATGCTGAACATTTGGTTCCCCAGACTTCAGATATTCTGTTTTCAGGGATTTGTTTCCCACTACTGAGGGGGCGGTTGGAGTGATGAGTTGGCAGGCAAATGCCACAAGATTTGACCTGAATAGGATTTCTGGCTTAGGAAATTTGGAACCAGCATCAAACTGTTCATGCATTCAAAAGACTGAAAGAGGAGGCTTCCAAATGGCATGGACTCTGATATAACTGGGGGTCTCCCTTGAATTTGCAACTGTTCATGCCTTAGAGAGTCCCTCCTCGGTCAGAATGTCCCATAGGAGGTTAGACGGGACGTCTCAGGGCCACATTAGTTCCTGACAGCTTGCTCCCTTAGGGGATGGTCCAGCTGTCTGGGGAAGGGTCTTCTCTTTCATCCTTACAGCTGAAAAAGAGGAGTTTTCAGACTTTCTGTTGGCTGAGGACTAAAAGCATGTGGGGTCCCCACAGGGCATTCTCCAGATGGCCAGGCAGCTGGTATCTGTGTGATATCTGGAGGAGAGCCCGTGGAACCTCAGTTTGCCTCACACACAGAGGGGGAGGAGTGATAGTGGGGTTCCTGGCCTTGGGGACGGCTCATGAGGCTCCCCAGACCACTTCAGAGAAACTAGTGCTGACCAGAAGATGGTCATCTAGTCACCAGTTGCATACCTACCCTTTGACACTCCGGCATCCCTGGTGCCTTCTTGAACTCAGATCGAGTGCCCTCATTCCGTTTTGTCAGGCGGCCCTCAATACCTGGGGCTTTTCTTGGTCTGGCCTCTTGGCTCACGGGGATGGCCGCTTTCCTTGACAGACAGTGACAATGGAGAACACCACTGCTGACGCCTGGAGGTTGGCAGGGAGGGCTGAAAGCCCTCGCGCAGCTGCTACTGCCTTGTCCCAGGGTCAGGTGGACAGCGCTGTTGACAGGACTGCCCTGGCTCCCTCTCATCCTCAGGTCCCCGCTGTCCCCAGGTGACCAGTACCTCGGGAAGGCCAGTCAGAGGCAGGCGTGCATGAGTTTCATTCTCCAATCCCCAACGATGCCACAGTGTGGTCTCCTCAGTGGAGCACAGTCCCAGTGACTAGGGGCTGGGCTATTTATGCACCACACCTGGGTATCGGGTTGCTGGAAAGAGTTGCTCTGAATTTGGCTGAAGGTTGCTGCCCTTCTACCCTATCAGGGTGTACTCAGAAACCAGGGTCAATCATCCTCACCTGAACCTCCCAAAGCCTCAGCCATCCTCCTGCTGGAGCCAGGGCAAGCCTGGAGTCTAGGGGATAGCTGCAGGTAAAAAGGCCACAGTCTATCCCACCTTGGGTGCCTGAATTTTGTTACTGTCCCTTTCAAGTCAGGCCCCAGCAATGATCCTTCTGCCTGGCGTCCTCCAAGCATATGGTGTCAGTATTGTAACAAGTCCTACACAGTTGTTCAGGAACTCCCAGGTGTCACTGCACTGCGGGAACTTACTAAAACATAATCAGCTCTCAAGTTCAGTGTCAAGAATATTGGTCATTTAAAAAATTGAGATATAATTGTCATATAACATGATATTAGTTTCAGGTGTACGGCATGATTTGATATTTGTATTCATTTTGAAATGATCACCACAATGATTCTAGTTAACATCTGTCAACATATATAGTCATTCATTTTTTTTCTTGTGATGAGAACTTTTAAGATTTACTCTTAGCAACTTTATATATACAATACAGTATTGTTAACTATAGTCACTATGTTGTACCTTGCATCCCTATTACTTATTTTATAACTGCAAGGTTGTTCCTTTTGACCTCCTTCACTGATTTTGCACCCCCGTCCCACTCACTCCCCTGGCCCCACCCCACCCCATCCTACCCCTCCATCTCTGGCAACCACCAATCTGTTCTCTGCATCTATGAGCTAGTTTTTTGTTCATTTTAGATTCCATGTATAAATGAGATCATATGGTATTAGCTGTCTAGTGGCTAGATAAGTAAGGGTGCCAGGGTCTGCAGTTTGCATGGATGTAAAAGTGGTATGTATAAGTGGCATGTTGAGGACCCCAGAGTTAGGGCTGCAGGAAAAGGAGAAAGAGGAAGATGGCTATGGAAGGGCAGTAGGAAACAGCCAGTGCTGACAGTACTTGGTAATATAAGGTGGGCTCCAATTTGGGTCTTCTGCAGGTATGACCTTATTTTCTGATTTTAGACTGGAATAGCTTGATAGGGTTGCTGCAACCTTAGATTTCAGCAGAAGTCTTATTGAGCCCCAGGGTTCTGTGCTAGAATCCCATATCCCTTCCTACTCTCTAGGAACCCACCCAAAACATAATACATTCTCATGTGCAGTATCAAGAAGATAGGTCACTTTTGGGGACAAGATCCCACAGAGCTCCCAGAATTGGTAACATGTTGACCTAAAAAATAGATCACTCCCGAGAACCTTTAGTGGTTGAACCAGCGTCTCCAGCCCAGATTTCTGAAATTCTCAAGAGTTTTATTTTTCTTTTATCATTAGACTTTTGTCTGGAGCTACTCTGGGCCACACACACACACACAAAATCTCATGAGCGTCTAAAGTAAGGGAACATGTCTTTAGTGCAGCAGCCAGAGTGGTCCTTTTAAAATATAGTTTTGATCATCATTCCTCTCCTTCAAAGCTTCTCTGGTTTTTTTTCTCACAGTAAGAAAACAATGCAACCCAAGCCTTCATCCTCCTTACCTCTGTTAGCCTATGTCAATAAAAAGTAATCAGTCAATCTAAGAAAGAAATTAAAAATTTTACATGAGCCAAGTTTGAGGATTATAACCCAGGAAGAGCAACTCAGAGAGCTCTGGGAACTGTTTTGCTGGTTAGAAATCTAGGCTGGTTACATAAGAGTTTTTGAGACAGAGGACTGTACAGCAAATGATGTATTATAGACAGTTTACATAATCCAGATCTAAGCATCATGCTGGTGGGTCATGTGACCCCTTACAAGATCAAGAAGGAATGTTATCTTTTAAGGAGTTGTCTTGTTAATGCTAGAAGAATGTTGCTCTTTATGATTGAACAGGTATTTTTGCTGATGGGGAAGGTTTGGTTGATGCATAATGCAGATACATAATGCACAATAGAGGAAGAGAGGAGGCCAAAGGGCAGAAAAAAATTTTTTTATGTTTAAATTTTTCTTATTTTGCCATAAAATATGGATTTTATGTCACATCTATGATTGGTCTCTATTCACAAGGCCTCCTTACTGCTCTAGGAATGAATCTGGTAAATTTCCACCTCTGGATATTTGCATTTGAGATTCCCTGAGCTTGATACACTCTCCTAACTATCCCATGACTCACTCCCTTACTTTAAGTCTTTGTTTTCTAAAGAAACTCTTTGTGATCACCCTATTTAAA